AGTAAATAAATAATAGAGGAGAATGTCAATGAGCTGAAGAAAGACTTGAGTGCAGATTAAATGGTCACAGAGTCCTAGGCAAGATTATTAAACAGGAAATTAAGAAGATCCAGATTTGTCCTATAAGATTCTTGAATTCTAATAGTAATGATAATAATAAAAAAAAAAAGTACAAGCTTTCACAGAGAAAAATTACAAAGGAGAGAGCGATCAACATCAAACTTCCTGTTTGTAACCTGCTGAGGATTATTGAACAATGTCTTTAGTCTAAAAGAGGGGATGATTGCAATTAAAAACTCATTTATTTCCAAAGATGTCATGTATCACAGCAAAAAACATTCATTCATCTTATATCTGTATACTGAGTATACAATTTGTGCTAGGTACTATTCTAGTCATTAAGGATATGGCAACTTCCATACTGACGGAAATATTTAGTAATAATCTCAAACTAAATATTTTTAAAATAATTTCAGCAAAATCCAGGATTTAGGAGGGGTGGATGGAAAGCAATGAGAGAATGGTTAGATAAAAGTGTGTGCAAGTTTCACCCTGGTGCGGCATAAGTTACCCAGTAAAGCATCCCTGTGGGGTTATGACTATGTTATGTTGAAAAAGAGTATGTCTAAGTCTGAGTGTTAAGAATGAGAAAGTAACCATTGAAGTGCCACGTTAACACGGGGAAAAAGAATAAACAAATTCCACTAGCTGGGAAAAGAAGAAATAACAAAATAAAAGAAACAGAAGTTATGAAATTAATGAAAGGAGAAAGAGCACCAGTCTTCATAATAAGCCAACTAGTGGATGGCAGGATTCAGGCCCTGGATGTCACTGTTGAGCTGCTGGAAAACCCACTTTGAAGCCCGCTCTGTGTGTAAGCTTCTAATTACATAAAATTATTTCCTTATTGTTTAAGCTACTTTGAGTTGAATTTGCTGATTCACTAGGAAGCATCCTAACAGATACACCTCATTTCACAGATGAGAACACTGAGGTTCAGAGAAGTATAAACCTAAAAACATGAAAACCTGAGAGGAGAAAAACCACAGTAAAATTTTGGAATTTAGTAGGCCTGAGAAAATTTTAGAAGTAACCAATTCAGCAGACCTAAGGAAGCTGAATCCTAAGCCATTTGTGCTTGATTTATATCCCAGAATCCCCAGTGTCTCAAAAAGTGGCACTACCAGATATGTATGGAAGTGGGGATGAAGTGGAACCAGCTAAGATAGGGGGGCTGGATGAAAAGCCTGTTTGGCAGTTTGATGGGGTGAGTGCTTTCAGACTGAATGCATAGGCTCTCATCTCCCTTCACTTGGACAGCCAAGCTTTAATACCAAGAGGGAGAGTCCTCTCTGGGGAATCTATGTAGCCCAGGGGGAGAGCCCCACAGATACTAGCAATAGGGTGTCCTCCATGAAAAACTTGGCTGGATTATTTGACAGGAAGTCTTGCTGTCTTCAAGCGCCACCCATACAATCTTGAGTTTCAAATTAGCAGTTTCATTGCTTCATTCTTAAATATGAGCAGACAACTGTGGCTCACCAGACTTCTGAGGAAGGCCTCCACGTGAAAGGAGGGGCCAAAACAAATAAACAAACAATAAAGAACACGCGGGGAAGACAGAATATGTTCGGGAGACAGAATATGTGCTTGGGAGCAGAATGTCGTTAATATCCTGAGACCAAGATTGAATTCATGAGAAAGGCTAGGATTCCATGAAAATGTATCTAGTGAACAGAAAGGAATTCTTGAAATTTAGAAATAAGAAGATAAAGAAGAACCCTTCAGAAAATAGGTCAAAATGACAAAAATAGGGGAAAAGAGTTAAGAATATTAGAGAACCAATTCAGGAAATCTAACATCCAACTAATAGGAATTCCAAATGGGGAGAAGGGAGAAAATGGGGTGGAGGAACTGACAAAATGAAGAAAATTACTCCGATCTGAAGGTTGAAAGGGCTCACCTAGTGCCCAGCATAGTACATGGAAATGATTCTCTCCAGGAACACTGGGGACAGAGGTCCTACACGTCCCACAGGGAGAATGAGAAGCAATTCTTACTCAGCAGGACAGGAAGAAGAGCGTCAGACTTCTCAAAACCAGCACGAAAAGCTGGGAGACAGTGGAGCAATGACTTCACGATTCAGAAGGATGAGCTTTGACCTAGATTTCTATATTTAACCAACCTGGAAGAGCAAAGGTAAAATACTCAGACTTGTATAGTCACAAAACATTTACCTCCCATGCACCTTTTCTTAGCAAGCTGCTGGGGGACATGCAGCAGCCAAGTAGGGGGATAACCAAGAAGGAAAGGACACAGCTACACAGGACCAGGGATGCACCCCAGGAGAGGAGAGAAGGGGGTTCCAGGGTGGCAGTGCCATTAGGCATAGAGAGCAGCCAGTCCAGGCTGGGGCAGGCCTATAGACTCCAGGAGGAATTTCTTCAAGAAAATGCAATGAATAGTATTACTGAGAAATTTGAAAACCAAGAGAAAATAAAGACATTTGGGAGGAAAGTTTGGCTTTGAACTGTGATCGGTACGTAAAAAACTAAGCAAATGAAAAAAATGACTAATTCTGGGGGTGGGAAGAAGAATGTTATGGAAGAAAGGAAAGCTAATCATAGTTTATTATATGGGTAAGCAGTGAATAGAATTTCTATTGTAATAATGTAAACTTTGAGTATTGATCTAACCAAAATTACCAGTGTGACCATAGTGGGGGAAAGGGAGAAATGAAAAGGTGTATGGCTTACAGAGACTGAAATCCTCATCTTCTATAGTAGGAAGATAATAGTTAATACTTAAAGCTGGAAAAGAAATAGCAAGGGAAGCTTTTTATTTAGTGACAGGAAGACAAATACCAAAAAAACCCCAGCTAAACAGCTTGGAAGTGGCTGTCTTTGGGGAGGTGGAATTGGAGGAAGGAGAGAATGATAACAAACCTTGTGCAAGTATTTGACACTTGGAACTATGTGCATGATTCATTTTGATAAAGATAAAACTTAAAAAAAAATCACTTAAAATTAAGACAAGTAGTATGGAAGGTATAAAATGTTTATCAGCTGTTATACTAAATTATACTGAATGCAAATACTATATTTTACTAAATGTTAAGTGGGCTGAATTCCACTGTTAAAGAACAGAGCCTATCAGATTGGGTTATTCAACATATATTTATCATTTTTGCTGCAAGCACCTATTGTTTTTTCTTCTAGCAAAGCATCTGATTTGGCTTTGCCATTTCCCCCTGTTCAGTCAGATCTGTGGAACTGCTTGTCAAAGTTGTCTGCCTCTCCCAGCCAAGGAATTGACATGTGACTCTAAGCTAGGCCATTAGGACGCTTGCTCCCTGGAATTTTATTCTTGATCATAGTGACATAAAGACTGAAAATAGTTGGGACTCATTCATCCCAGCTGTGACACTAGGAGGAGACTGTCTATCTGCTACTGCCACCTGAGCTCCCAGCTGCCTGCTTCCTCTCCTGTCTTTACTGGAAAGTTTCCTGCAGGTGCCATCTCTCGCATGAATTCCTTTTTGTTTTAACTAGTCAGAGTCAATTTCAGTTGCTTATAACCAATGAACTCTAATTGATATAGGTGAAACCTTAAATAAGATTCAGCTGATATATATATCCCTTTAATTTTAATCTTTCTTTGTCTTGTATATGTAAGTAAGGCAGGGAAAAACAAAAAGAAAGTAGAACTTAATGTCCACAAAACAGAATTTAAGTTGAAAAGCATTAAAGACAAAGAGGGTCATTATGTAATGATAAAAGGTGTGATACATAAGGAAGATGTAACAGTCTTATGGGAACTCAAAAAACTTAGCAAATATAAACACTTAGTGAAAAAACTCTTAAAAACTGAGAGAGCCTAATCAATCAAAGTACAGTTGTAGGGGGGCTTTTAATTTATTCATTTCAGAATTTAACAGATAAAATAGAATATGGAGATATACAAACCATTAGAGAAACAACCAGAAAATACGAATAGGGAAAACCCATGTGATAAATAAACATATGAAAAGATGCTCAACCACATTTAGGAAAATGCATGTTAAAGTAACAATAGGAAAACATTTTTTACCCATCATATTTGGCAAAAATTCAAGAGTTATAATACTCAGTGCTAGGGAAGATATTGGAAAATAAGTACTTTCAAAAGCTATTGATAGAATGTAAATTATTACAATAATTTATTACAATAAATTACAATATTTGGGGGGAAATCAGCTTTGAATATCTCTTAAAACTGTAAATACACTCTTTGACTCAGCAACGTGAATTTTGGGAATCTGTCCTATAGAAATAATAGAACCAGAATGTACTGGATGTGCATACAAAAATGTTTACTGTAACATTGTACTGGCAAAAACTTGAGGAAAACCTGAATATTCATAAATGGAATAATTCTGAATAAAATTGAAGTACATCCATACTATGGAATATCATTCAGCTGTTAAGGAATTGGCACTCTCTGTCAACATGGATGTATCATTGACTAGGAAAGCAAGTAGTAAAATAATTTGACTCATTCATATATAGTAAAAACCATATGTATGATATATATATATATGTACATATGAATATGTACATGACCTTAAAGAAAAGTGTGGAAGCATCAACCAAGCTGTTAACAATTGTCACTTTAGGGTGGTGGGGTGGCAAAGAGGAGCGCTTGACTTTCTTTCGCTTTCTATAATAAATGTGTGAAACTTTTGTAATTAATAAAAATTAATAATAGATCAAATAGGAATTTTACCAAAGTAAAAAACTTTCTAGGAGATATATGGTGTTTAATCAGCAAGAATTTGAAAATTTTAAGTGGGTAACAAAATGGATATACTTTTCTGTGAATTGCAGCAGCATTTGTTTTTATTCTCAATGATCAGGATTTGCAATGTGTTATTTTATATTTTAATTAATTGTGAGGGCTACCTGTTCTATGCTGTTAGGGTTTCTGTTGTTATACTTCTAAAATATTTTTGCTTTTGATAGGACTGTCTTCATCAGTGGAATACAATGTAATGGAGTTGGAACAAGAACTTGAAAATGTAAAGACTCTTAAGACAAAATTAGGTATTGTACATTTTTTTCTTGACTTCTATGTTGGTCTTGGTTTCTTATTAAAGACTTTACTATAGTCTGAAATATTCAAAAAATTTTTAAATCTTTAGTTTATGTTAGAAGCTTTGAATCTGTTCAAAGCCATTGATAAAGACTATCTTTTAGTTTGGGGAGAGGATGAGCATATATTAATTCACATTTTTTTGTTTGTTTTGTGTGTGTACAAAATGACTTCAAAGATGATGATGGTCAAAGATGTTGCTCCATTGTCTTTTCACTTGCCTCATTTCTGACAAGTAATCTTCTGTCATTCTTACCTTTTAGTGTATCTTTTTTTCTATCTGCTTTTAAGATGTGCTCTTTTTCACTGATTTTGAACAATTTGATTATGATGTGCCTTAGAGTAGTTTTCTTTGTGTTTCTTGTTCTTTGAGTTCATTGAGTCTCTTGGATCTGGGAGTATACAGTTTTCATCTAATTTGGAAAATTTGGGGGCATTACTTCTCCAAATATATTTTCTTCTTCTCTCTGTGCCCTCCTTTTCAGGGACTCCAATTACATGTACCTTAGCCCACTTGAAGTGCCCCATAGCTCAAGGATGGTCCTTCATTTTCCAGGTTTTTTCTCTGTGTGTTTCATTTTGGATAGTTTCTATTGCTGTGTCTTCATATTCACTAATCTTTTCTTTTGAGTGTCTAATCTGCCTTTAATCCCACCTAATGTATTTTTTTCTCAGACACTGCAGTTTTTATCTCTAGATGTTCTATTTAGGCCTGTTTTATATCTTCCATGTCTCTAATTAACATGTTCAGTTCATGTCCTCCATCTTTTTGAAAATATGGAATACAGTTATACTAATACTTTCAGTGTTTTTGTCTGCTAATTGTAACATCTATGTTAGTTCTCAAAAAGTTTCGTTTGACTGACTTTTCTCCTCATCATCGGTTGTACTTCTGCGCTTTTTTGCATGCCTGGCAATTTTTGATTGGATAGTTGACATTGTGAATTTTACATTGTTGGGTGCTGATATTTTTGTATTCCTATAAGTGAGGAACTTTTTTCTGGGATACAGTTAAGTTACTTGGAAACAGTTTAATATTATCAGGTCTTGCTTTGAAGACTTATTAGGCTGGACCAGAGCAGCATTTCATCTAGGGCTAAGGTTCCCTGCTCCTGAGGCAAGTGCTTCTGAGAACTTTATCCTGTGCTTTAGGAGGTTTTGTGCTGTCTTGCAGAGCAGCACAATTCTTGGCCCTTGGCATGAGTAAGACTCCCTGTTGCTCTACATCCTTGTCAGTAATTGACAGTGTTGGACTTCTAAGTTTTTACCAATTTAGCAGATGTGGAATGAAAATGGTTTTTGTTGGTGTTTTAATTTGCGTGTCCCTGATTTGTGTTTCCAATGTTCATTTAGCTTCTGCTTGAAAAACATCTGTTAGTATTTCATTTAGTGCTCGTTTGCTGGCAATTAATTCTCTCAGTTTTTGTTTATCTGAAAACATTTTTACTTTGCCTTATCATTTGTAGGCATTTTTACAGAATTTAGAATTCTTATTTGGTAGTTTTCGACATTGTAAAGATATTGTTCCAGTGTTTTCTGGTTTCTGGTTAAAAGTTGTATTGTAGCCCTTTGGAAAGGCTATAAGATTTTCTTTTTGTGTTTGTTTAGCAGTTTTACTCCAGTGTGCTCAGGTTGGTTTTCTCTGTATTTATCCTTCTTGAGACCTGTGGTACTGCGTAAGTGTGTGGCTTAATGTCTTTTATCCATTTGAGAGATTATTGGCCATCATCTCCTCAAATATTGCTTCTGCTCACTCTCTTTTATTTCCTCACACTCCAGTTACACATACACTAGACCTTTCACTCTTATATTCTTTTCTGTGTTTTTCCTCCTTTTTTATTTACATGCTTTAGTCTGTAATATTTTCTACTCATCTGTCTTCCATTTCACAGTCTTTTTAGCTATGTCCTAATTGTTGTCAAAACTATCTGTTGAACTCTTAGTTACAGTATTTTTCAGTTCTAGAATTTCCATTTCATTATTTTTCTAGATTCAAATTATGACATCTGCCATCTTGCCACTTATCTTATTGAACATATTAATCAGTTATTTTAAGGCCTGTTTCTGATAAGTTCAGTATCTGGATCAACTGAAAGTGTGTTTCTGTTGTCTTTTTTTTCTTTGTCCTTTGTCCTGATAACATTTGATTGAATGCCAGACATTTCTTATACAAAATTGTAGAAATTATGGATGATATTTTCTTCTTTTGGGGAGGATTTACTTTTGCTTCTGGTTCACAGTTAGGGTAGGGACAGGCCAGTTTAATCTGTCTGGACTTGAGATCATTTGAGACTGGGTTTTGGTCTTTATGAGGGCTGCTCTATTTCCAGTTTGGCATTACTCCTAGGGTATAAGTTTTCCTTGGTCCTACCTGAAAGCCTCGTTGTTTTGTTGTTGACTATTACCCCATCTTCTTCAGGAACCCTGAACTCTGGTTTCTGCCTCTCAACAAACGTGAGCCTGATGAAGCTTGGCTTGGCTTCTCTGCCTGTTAGCTGCATCTTCTGCTCCTCTTCTCAGCCTCTTAGCCACTGATGCCATGAAGGGGGAAGTGGCTGCACGGCAGGCTCGCTTCTCTCCTCTCCTTTTTCCCAAATTCTGGCTGCCTTGCTAACCCCAAACTCCAATTTTTGTCTCCCTCGCTCTGTTGCATTTGCTGAAAGCTGTGATTTAGCATCATCTTCTTTTACCCACTGATTTTGGCTTGATTTCTCAGACTTGTGGGTCCATGCCAGTTGTATATGGAAAATGCCATGCAGGGAAAGATAGTGCAAATCAGAGGCTCACTTCAATTTATTTCGCGGAATATGGCCCCTCAATCTTGATCGTCGTGGGAGCTTTCTGATAACCTTCATACAGGTTTTTTTAAAAATTAAGTTTGGGGCCGGCCCCGTGGCTTAGCGGTTAAGTGCGCGCGCTCCGCTGCTGGTGGCCCAGGTTCGGATCCCGGGTGCGCGCCGACGCACCGCTTCTCCGGCCCTGCTGAGGTCGCATCCCACATACAGCAACTAGAAGGATGTGCAGCTATGACATACAACTATCTACTGGGGCTTTGGGGGAAAAAAATAAATAAATAAAATCTTTAAAAAAAATTAAGTTTGATCTATCTTTTCCAGTTCTTCATGGCGTGAGGATTGGTGTGATAGAAGGTGACCATTGTAGCTAGAATTGGGTTTGCTTCTAGCCCTTAGAAAACTGCAAGTGTTTATCTTTGGGATATTGGATTAGAGGGGATTTTTACTCATGTTACTTTATTTATTCAAATCTGTATCAATATATAAATCTAAAACACAAATATTTCCATATTTTCAGAGTAAGCATGTACTAACAGTATATTTCATTAGCAATTGAAATGTCTTTAAGAGCTAAAATTTAAAGATCACAGGATTTAGTCGTTTACTATAGCAGACTGATTTTAAAACTGATTTTTATATGTTGTGGAGGAAAATTAAAAATAATTTATGTTTTTTGAAAAAGAAATTATTTATGTAAAAATAATACATTCTGGTTATAGCAGTAAGGAGTGAATATGTGACTCTGGAGAGAATTTTTGGAAATTACTGAAATCTTTTGTTGTATTTTGTTTTTCCTCCTAATAGAGAGGCGAAAAAAGGCTTCAGCATGGGAAAGAAATTTGGTGTATCCTGCTGTTATGGTTCTCCTTCTTATTGAGACAGTAAGACTTTATTTACCTACTTAAATAAAGCAAATTATTTTTTATTTACTTTAACATTTGAGTATGGCAACTCCCTCAGCTAAATGGTTTCAAGTAAACTAGTTTCTGTCAACAGGATTAAAATCCATCTATGCCTTTATTTGTAAAAACTCATTAGAGCAAAAATAGAAATTAATGGTAGTTTTTTAAAAGTTCTCAAGATTATCTATTTCCTCATGAAAGCAGGAAATTCATTCTTTTGTTTTATTGAAAAGTCAGAAGAGACAAGGTGTTGTATATACTCTGCTTCATACTCTATGATAGGATATGAAAATTACATTATTAAATTAGTTCTGATCACATTTAAAAAATGGTTAAAATGTTGAGTTGTGGGTTTCCAGTTGGTGAAATCAGTTAGTAAATGGATCTATATTATTAGCTTTTGTCACAAGCTTTGAAATTCTAATAACTTGCAGAATCTTTTAGAATTTATTCTGGAGTTTTTGTAGATAGTCTGATTATTGTAGGTTTATATGTAGATTTTGGCCTTGACTGTTTTTCCTCTATTCTGAAGCGTACATTTGGTTGGTTACTTAGATTTTAATATCTTTGAAATTAAAACTAATGGCTTACTTTTTGTGTTGTAGTCCATCTCGGTTCTCTTGGTGGCTTGTAATATTCTTTGCCTGTTGGTTGATGAAACAGCAATGCCAAAGGGAACAAGGGTAAAGTAAAATGCTTTAAAATGTCTTTCTTTTGCAGAAGTATTCTGTGTGTATACCGAGTGTTTCAAATAAGTAGATTAAATCATTCACTTTTCTGCATGTATATTTTTCAAGTTCTATGAATTTCTTTATGCAATGAGCCTTCATAAACAGTGTTTATAAACTATGATTTTTGTTTCTGATTTCTTACTTTGGATTGGCCAGGCCTTTTATCGATTATAGAGTTTCCTTTTATACTTCATATCAGAGTTTATCTTTGTTTTATTGAAATTCATATTTGTGATTCTTTAAGAAAATGTATACTCTGAAATAGTAACATATAGTTTATTATTAGATGGATTCATTGGGTTTGCAAAAGATCCAAATATACGGTTTTAGGGACTCACGCTTCAAGAGTCACACCTTTTATGAAACTGAGTCAAAATGTTCAGTTACTGGAGGAGAGTCAGATGTACATCTTTTCATGAATTAACTTAGTTTTCTCTCTTGTTTAAAAATTGATGGTTTTATTAAATTCTATCAATTAGTCTATTGGAATATATTCATATTTAGCATACTTTTTCTAGGTGTCTCTATAAACTTTTAGATACTTAAAGTGGCATTTAAGTTTTGACATTTCATTATATTTTTCTAAGTCAGCAGCTTTCCCATTCCCCATAGAAATGACTTCAACTCTTCCAGACTTTTGATGCCACTTCTTTCTCTGAATTAGACGTTATACCTTTTCTCTCATAGAAAAGGCCAATATCTATCTTAATTCCTTCCCTTCAGTCCGAGATGAAGATACTCTGTTCTTTCAAAAGCTAATTCTTTCAGCCATATTCTCGGTTTAGATCCCTCCCACCGCACCTTTCCAGGACCTTGTGCCATCTCTCACTGCCATTGTCTTTCCACCAGTGTGAGCCGACCAACCTGTTCCAGGTGCCTCATTCCACTAACAAACAGCAACAATGATAAATAATCCTCCTCTATCTACAGCCTGGTTTTTGTCTTTCATTTAGACCCAAATCCATTGATAGAGCAGAAGTTCACCTACTGTGTTGCCTTCTATCCATTTTTTAACCCACTTTCATATACTGCACACTAGGTAAGTCCCAAGCCCCATGGTACATTTTTGTACCATACCCTTAGTGCATAGTAGAGAGAGACTTGTACCTGGTAGGATCCTTGTGTGATTGTATAAATAAATCAGATCATCTTATTCCTGCCTGTAGGCCTTCTCTTGAGACAGGGAATATTTCTAAAATGTTTTCCGTCCTGGTCAATAAACTTTCTATTATGCCTAAGTTACAATGTATATATAATATATGTGATATTGTTTATTGGTTTATTTTTTATTAGGCTGACTACACATTCTTAATTATCTTGGTATTTCTGTTAGGTGTAATTCAAGCTGGTAGTAAAATAGTAGTTCATATTCACAGAGTTCCTTTAATTAGGAAGCTTTGAAAATTTTTTGCCTGTCTGGTCTCATTAATAAATATTACTTTTTCTGTTTGTTTTTTTAAGTTCTAGATAAAGATAGGTTTTGAAAAGAGGTTTAATGTTCAGGAAAAAGTTTATAGCATTTCATTTAAAAAATCTGTGTTAATTAAGTTATATCTTTTAAAACTCTAAATTCCCAAGGAAGATTTGGGGAAAGGAAACTTTAAAATTTAGAAACAGGATATGCACATTCATTTTGTTTCTCTGCTTAGCTTAGTTTTGACATATTTTAATTGTATAATTTTTTTATGTTGCCTCAGGGTTTAGATAATTATATATTCCATTCCTGTTGTGCTATTATATTTTTATTTTTATTTTATTTTATTTTATTTTATTTTATTTTATTTTATTTTATTTTATTTGTGAGGAAGATCGGCCCTGAGCTAACATCTGCCAATCCTCCTCTTTTTTTTTTTTTTGCTGAGAAAGACTGGCGCTGGGCTAACATCCATGCCCATCTTCCTCTACTTTATATGGGACACCGCCACAACATGGCTTGACAAGCGGTGCGTCGTTGCACGCCCGGGATCCGAACCGGTGAACCCCGGGCTGCTGCAGCGGAGTGCGCGCACTTAACTGCTTGTGCCACCGGGCCGGCCCCGACTATTATATTTTTAAAAAATGTCTTCCAAAGATATTCAGGATTTAACAGTAAGCATAATCATATCATTTTTATAAGTTAAATTACATTTGAGATAAATCAGAAATATTTTAAGCTTATTAAAATTATTAATGTGTTTGAATTAGTTATGAACTCAGTCTAGTGTCACGTTTTATTGTCCTTTGAAAGTCTGGATGTTACTCCACGGTATTAAACATTCCTAATTTCAGCTGTCCTATATTAGTGAAACAACAGTTTTAGGGAAACCAAATATAATAGTGTCATTGAATTCTGAAAAGTGTTTTTTTTTCCTCAGGGACCTGGAATAGGAAATGCTTCTCTTTCTGCTTTTGGTTTTGTGGGAGCTGCACTTGAAATCATTTTGATTTTGTATCCTTTCTTTAACTGAACATTCTGTTAACGAGTTTTCTGTCTAGTTTTCTGGGACAGTGGTAATTTACTAAGACACTTGCCTAGAATCAAAAACAAGTCAGTCTTCCTCAAGCACTCCTAGTGGCTTTTTGTTTTGTTTTGTTTTGTTTTTCCTTTGGGCCATAAGACTTGGGAGACTACTGAGAACTTAAGGAAACTGGCATTCTTGGAGAGTTTTTTCCTTGATTCTCACAGCTATCTTATGGTGTCCTCTGTTGTTGGTTTCTATAGCCTCCGATTTTTTGGAAACTTTATTCCCAAGAAGGATGACACAACTATGACAAAGGTAAGATAAAGTCTTAGGTGACTATGCCTCCTTTTTGCCTTCCAAGACAAACACACTGTTTTATTTAGTAATCGCCCTGAATGGTTCATTTGCAGTGATAGGTGTTTGTTTGTAAGTTGCATAAACACTAACTGGAAGATTTTCAAAATGCTGAATGAGTGGGAAAAGGATGTGCTCTGTTTAATTTGGACGGCATCCATTCACTTGTAAATGCACAGAACTGCAGCTTGTTAACTAGCTGTAGAAGGCTCCTGAAAGGACTCTTTCTCCTCTAAAGAAAACGTATTGCTAATGAGTAACTTTGATTGCACTAACTGTACTTCAGGGGCTTGTTTGAAATCTGAAGAACTTAGTTGCTACAAGTAGTAGAGACAAAGTATTTCAAATTTGAATAATTAAAGCAAGACGGAAGAGTACTATTCAGAAACATTTTGTAGTCTGAGGCTAATTTGACTTTCTACAATATGTCATTGGCTTCGGAATTAGCAAAGGCTGTTATTTTATATAGTGACTACGTCTTTGTAAAATATTCCCACAGGCCGACAATGAAGAATAACTAGTAAGAGCTGCTGGCTTCTTTTCTTTTTATTGTATATTCCATGTTTTCAGCCTATTTTAAAAGCGAGAGGTTATTTTAGCTATCTTATCTGTCTGTCTATCTGTAAAATGCTATATGACTTCTTGAGATAGTTAGCATCTAGTTTAAAGTGATCCTAAGTATTAATGAGTATTTTCAGCTCCTCTTATTTAATATGAAAGATAAGCATAGGTTACATTGAAAGTGAATGATTAGAAGTTGGGTGTTTTGGATTTCTAGCCTTTTGGTATTAAATCTTATAATAGTTAAACATATTAGAAGTAGACATTATATATCTGGAGCAGTAGTCTGGCTTTAAAAATAGAGTCAGAAGTATTAGATGTATTAATTCTTTTTTACTTGACAGGAATACCTTTTGAAATTGGCAACCTCAATCAATAATGTAAAATACATTGTCTGAGGTGTAATTTAAGTGTTCTATAACTTTATATTTGTGCCAGATACTGTAAATATCTTCTAGAACTTACAGATATAACTTCAAATGTTTGTAGAAAAAGTTTCTTATTCTCTCTAAAATCTATATTGAATAGTATCATTAAGAAGTTGCCCAAGTACAGTAGGTAACTAGAATGTACAGTAACTTCCCAGAATGTGAGTGGATTTTCTTTATCATCCTGTTGTTTAACTGCCCAATATTCTTTCTGATTTCTCATAACAGATCATTGGGAATTGTGTGTCAATCTTGGTCTTGAGCTCTGCACTGCCTGTGATGTCAAGAACACTGGGTAGGTTTGAGAAATTTTCATGTGAAGTCCATGCCGTTTTAAGATGTCTTTTCTAAACTTCTTTCTTAACTTTTAGTTTCTAAACTTCTTCAAAAAGATCACCCTTCGAAATATATTTCCTCCCACATTATTTTATACCTTTACTTCTATACTGCATTTGTATGTAGGGCTATCCCAAAACAAGTACTTGTATCAAATAAATACCATTTTGTTTCTAAATACTTAAAAACATTCCTTCTCCAAACAATGGACTTTTTTTTTTGTCACTGATTTTAGTTAAGCTTTTGAGTCCTCTAGTTAGGAAACTGTGATTTTAAAAAAAAAGTTTAATGGCTAGAAAATATCAAACTAATTTTTCTTATATGAAACATTTTTTAAAACTTGTAATTTAGTATGTGGTTTAGAAATTGAAAATCTGTAAAACTTATTTTAAGCTGCTTTGTGTCTATGAAATGGACTTGAAAGTGGTGAGATCTTTGAGTGCACATGATTTAAAGGACATCCTTTAGTTCTTTAGTTTTTTGCTTGCCTGTCATTCATATAGTTTTCTTAATTTTTGGGTTTACAGAGAATTTTGGTTATCTTTTAAAAGTAAAACATTTCCACTTCGTCATTGAAATAGTTGAATAAATCTTCATTTGGCTTTCTTATCTTTCATAAAGCACTATTGCAGAGTGTATTCTCAGTTCTGGGGATAAATATTATTTCAGACAAAAATTTTCATTAGACAGTTCTGCTCGGTTTTCTGAACTTAGGTTTTGACTTAACAGTGTTCACAAAAGATTAGAAAAAGCCCATCCTTGCATCTCAGCACCTTGCTCGTAACAAAAACTACTAGTGAGTTTGAGTTGCTTTTGTTTTAGCTCTTATGTCGCCTCCATTATTTATTCAAGACTCACAGCCATCAGGGATGGAGGCTGTGCCCAGAAAGTATAAGCTTTATAGTTATCTTCATAATTCTTACAAAGAATTTCATGTTTTAATAAAAAGTGAAATCTAAGTATAAATGTAGTCTGTTTCACAGACTAATACAAAGCTCATTTACTTCGTGGTCTTATTTCTTTGTGTTTGCTTTATAGGACTTGTTATTGTTTTCACATCTGCTTATGGTGGGCTAATCTTGAAAATGCCAAAAATATGCACTCTAGTAACTTGATTTGTAGCTAAATGTTATCATTTGTATTATGACAGTCCAACAAAGAATTTCTGTGATATTACGGCCACTGTACCATTTTATCATTTATGAAACTCACTGTCCTCTGTTATTTAAGATTAATTGTTAATAGTAATATCTACTGATTTTATGGAATTACATGTCGAGTATAGTTTTAATAGAAAGAAAACAAATTAATGGCAAAATTAGCTTTTTGAAGATCAACAAATTAAATTCCTGAGTAGTTTGCCATAGAGATAAATAAAAAGACGAAAAAGAAAGATGGAACAATTAAAATGCAGCTAACAAATGCCTGGACCCAGCTGTCCAAACAGGATTAATGGAGTGCATTAGGGTACAGTGAGTCATGTGGTGCTTTGCAAAATATCAACATGCACTGCATTACATGTTATGCCCAGTGGCACTGAATAGATGAAAAGAAATAAATACGTTAAACAGATTCATAGAGGCTTTTCACAGTATTAAAAAAGCAAATTTCTGGACTAAAAGAAAAAGCTTTATTTTAGTATTATGGGAAATGCAAACTAGAGTTACTTTGTAATTCCTCTATTAACCCTTTAGAATTGAGTCTTTGATTTTAAGAAGATAAAATATAGAGAATTGTCATGAATATTATCCTAGTGTGTAACAGGATTTTGGTTTACTAGCTGAAAAGCTTATAAGACTAGAATAGAGGATGTATTTAACAACCAAACTCCACGCTGTGAAATTTTTCGCCCTTTCTTGTTGCCTCTAACAAGGAAATCCTGACCCTTAGGCTGCTCTCATCTGCTCCTGTGAATTCACCCAGCAGCATCCCATCACTTACAGTTAAATGAGAAATGAAGTAATAAGAAAAATCATAATTTACCTGTATACATGCAATTTTTCTATTATTTTAATAATTTTTATTGATGATTATAACTTTAATTACAAATTGAAAATACATTGACTCCTGTGTATAATAATTAATTTGGTGATATTTTTGCTTCAAAAATGAAAGTGTTCTATGAGGTTTTTTTTTTCATATGCCAACTGCTTATTGTTACTGCATCATAGGCATAAACTATAGCTTTAGACCTAAATGCCATGTGTGATATGACACATTTATTAAAGAATTGCTTTGAAATAGCTTTTTATGTTTGAATATGGAAAATTTTGTACCAATTGAAAAACTACCACAAAGTAGATTTTATAAGCTTATCACTTGCCACAGGGAATTAGGTTGTGAGGAAATTTTTGACTATGTATTTTTAGTCAAATATAATTAATACAGATGATGGTTTTGTTGTTCATAGGATACACGAAGAATCTGTGCTTAACATTTTTTATTCGAACTCTTATTAAAGCCCTTTAAAAGTAATGCCATGCCAGTGGATATGATTTCCAAAACATTGTTTTGCTGCCTGTTTAGACTTCAGTTTTGAAGAATCCAACGTTTTGGGGGATTTGATGTTCATATTTTTAGTAAACAATTTGCTGTTTGGTTTAATAGACTTGCAAAGTGATTAGAGAGGATGGTTGACAAACAAGGTGAAACTAGAATAGGATCAAGCCTAATAAATTATCTATAGATGCCCGAACTTTTCTATAATAAAATATTTTAAAAGTAGGAATGAATTTTGTAAGAATAGATTTTTGTATGATTGATATGTTTTTTATTGTGCTTCATCAAGAAACAACTGAGAGATTGACATCTTTTTCATTATTCTTTATTTGAAATCTCCTTTTAACAGGGAGAATTTTTCTCAAATGCAACCACCAAACTTTGCAATACTTTTACTAATTTCTATTTTAAAATTATTTTTATAGTTTTTTTTTCATCCTGAAGTTCTTTCTGTGACTCCTAAGTTCTGCAAGGCTCAAATGCAGATTTTTTTTAAAAAAATGTGCTTATGATATTAAAACAAAAACACTTTCAAATCAGTTTGAATTTATTCTTAGTATTTCCACATATTTCTCATCTGGGTCCCATATAGTTCATCATCTTGCAGGAGATAAAGTGGATTGTTCTCTTTTGTTCCTTGATGAAGGGACCTTGTTTAAAAACTGGTCCTTTTTGGAGATATCTTTATTTGGGGTTTTGTAAATACTACTAATCTTTATCCTGGGCTTTCCCTCTCTAGTTCTCAGTGTGAAACAGAAATAAATGATGCTTACAAATGACAAATGTGAAATAGAAGTATAAATCATAATATGTATTCCTAATTTGACTTTGATGTAAAAATAATTCCAAACCCCATATTAAAAATTTCTCAGCAAAAAATTTGTATATGACTTAGTTATATTCAGTTATATTACAGAAAGCAATAAATGAGTGGTACTAATTAACTTTTGAGTGATATAATGTTCTTATATCTGAGCAATAAATTTGTATATCTAGTTAGGTTTTTTAATAATAAAGAAAAGTATTCTGTGTCAAATGTCTGAAAGAGGTAAGAGAATAACTAACGCTCACTTCCTTAAATACTTTTATTCCCAGTGTCTCCTTGTCGTGTTCTTCTGATGCTGCTCTTGTTTCAGGGCACGTTGTCCTGTCTGAGAAAATGTCACGTTGGCTGCTCATTATCTAAATAATTTAGCCATCTGTTAACATACATTCAAATACCTTAAATTTTAATTTGTAAAGTATTTTTCATATGAAAATAATTCCAGTTAGGATCATTTCGTTGGAAGGAGCCTTAAGATGTAATTTTTTTAATGTTAACAATTAAACTGTTACAATTAAAACTAGACAGTAAACTCTAGTAAGGGTCTAATTTGTACCAAGAGTCAAGGACCCTAACCTGGCGGAGAGTACTTTAATCGTGCATCCGCACACAGTCAACTTGGAGACCGAGGGACAGGTCAAAGAGGTGACCTAAAAGTAAGACCTATTTTTATTTTTTTAATAAAATCTTATTTTTAATATATGAGTATATACATGAATAAATTCTCCTTATAAAGAACATTAAAAATTAGAGATGGGGCTAAAATTCCTGTGACCACCAGTTTTAATCCCAATCCCCTCTTCAGAGTTTCCAGGAACCAGTTTGATGTATAGTCATGCGTTGCTTAATGATGGGGACATGTTCAGAGAAATGCGTCGTTTGGTGATTTTGCCATTGTGGGAACATCGTAGAGTGTACTTACACAATGTAGATGGTATAATCTACTACTCACCTAGGCTCTATGGTACTCATCTTACGGGACCATCATCATATGTGCTGTCCATCGTTGACTGAAACGTTGTGATGTGGCGCATGACTGTATAGCTTTTCAGATCTTTTTCTGTGCATATGTATACACATGTGTAGTGTACTGTGTAGGAAATTGAAAACTCTCACCTGGGCGTTACTTTGTTTCTGACTCTTTGGTTAACATGCTTGTTCCTTCTGTTGACTCCTAACTTCAGTGTGCCTCCTAGTAGGAGTTAAAAGAGGAAAAGGTTTTGAGATCATTTCCTCTACCGGAACTCAGTCATCTGAAAATGAATTTCAAATCAAAACACTTAATTATCTTTTTCCTTTCAGGTCACCAGTGACCTCCTAATTGCCCAATCCTATGGATTCTGTTTTTATCTTAATTGCTTTGTGACATTTGCTATTTGTATTCCCCACTTCCCAGATTTCTTCATTTCTGGTCACCACTGCCCTCTTTTTTTCTCTTTTCCTTCTCTGGCCATTCCTTAGCTGTCTCTTGCCCTCCTCCTTCCCTCTCTCTTTCCTCCTCCCTCTCTCCTTCCCTCCCCTGTATTTCCCTTCAGTCCTTGGGCACTTTCTATCCAGTAGGCCCGTTATATTAGATGCCTCCACCTTCTTGTACCAATGCCTAAGGGCAGTACTCAGTTTCCTCTTGTTAATATTTC